AATTGGGTTGTCTCCGATTACTCCGACTGGACGACGTCGTTGGCTACGATGGGCGACAAATACTCCAGCTCGGCAGCTGGGCGAAGTGGGCGACTGACGACAGTTCTACTGCTACGAACCATCGACCAACTTGTTATTGTGAATCGGCCGCTGCGATGGTGCAACCGTCGACCAAATCAGGTTTTCAAATGAATGGGTTTCACTTTCTTCTCTGCGAATTAGGTCTTCGAATGGTTAGATTTGCTTCGCATTTGGTCTCCAACTTGTACGATTGGATCCAATTTCGAGTTCCTCTGTAGATTGACCTTCGTTGTCCGAAGGTGTCGGAGTCGACTGAAACAATGAAATTTTCGGCAATCTGGGGGTTGACAGCAAGAGATAGAGCTCCGGTGGGGCGTTGGGAGTAGGGGATGGCGTTCACTAAGTCGATGGAATGACCGGTGGACTCGGCGGTGGTGATGGCCCGAGTCCAGGGGACGAAGGCGGAGTCGTCGTGCTTTTTTTTTTTTTAGTACAGTTTTTTTCTTAATCCTCGTGCTTCTGTTTTCCTCTATTCGAACTCTTGATTTATTTCTTGAAATATTTTGATGGCCTTTACCATTCTAGATCATTTCTAGGCGTTTTGTTTGTTTGTTTTTTTTTTTTTTGTTTTTTTTTTTTTCTTGTGTTAATTTGGGTTGGACTTTTCGTTGGATCAAAAACATTAGTATCACTTCAAATTAATACCCTTTTCTTGTTTGAATCTTCACTCTCTGTGTGTATCATGTGCCTGTAGCTAAAAGCTGGGCGATGGTGATGGCGTACCAGCATCAACATCAGCAGCAGCCACTGATTCTTGGTTCGGGTTCGACCTCCGGCGGCGCCGGTGCTGAATTTCACCACTTTCATTAAGGTGTTTGTTGGAGGACTGGCCTGGAAACTCAGAGCGAGGCCATAAGACGATACTTTGAGCGTGATATTTAGGAGATACGCTGAAGTGACGCAATTACCCCTCACTTACACGGTCATTTAAAAGATATATAGACGGAGGACCAAAAATGTCCTCGTCCCAATAAGTATGTCCATAAAATGACAAATTACACCCCGGCCCGACAGAGCATTTGGGAGGATGTAAATCATGGTGACTTAACTGAACATGAACTATAGAGGCTAGACCGGTGCGCACAAGAAGCCATCCTCACTTTGAGAGGTTGCTCCCACACTGCCGCTGGTGAGACTCGATCCTAATTATTAATTAAAAAAAAAAAACAAACCTTAAACCTCGCCTTCTCCGGTGAGAAGGCCAGGGACTGCCTTCTCAGTAGAGAAGGCAACTGGGCTGCCTTCTCAGGTGAGAAGGCGACCCAGGTAGCTTTCAACTTGGGTTGCCTTCTCGAGTCGGGGTTTTTTTTTTTTTTAACTGTAAGATTCTTCCTGTATTTGCCTCAATCAATCCTCAACGTGATAACCCCTCCCATCTCCGTGCTTATATCAGAGGTAAGATTTTTACTTTTTGCAGTGTTAATGGGAATGAAAAGAAAGAGTGTGGGATCAAGTGATATCATTCTCACATCGGTATTTAATGGCTCCATAATGTCGTGTGTTTTCGACGTTTATCCATAGATCGACCCAGGCATAGTAGGATTAACTGGACGTGTTACTGCCGTGAGGCAGATGGCACAAGTATATCGAGTGTTCTTTAGGAAGGTTGACGAGGAAAGAGGTGATTATCTCGTTGAATCTTCCGACAACATGTGAGTTTCAAAACAGTTGATGAGCAGAAACTTTCCCAATAAATCTCGACTTCTTGAAACTTAATTCACAGAATAACATGTTGTGATCCCGATATATTAGGTACTTGATGAATCCCAACATGGAAGTACGACGCAGAGGATCTCGCTGAGGCGATTTTGCCTTCTCTGGTGAGAAGGCATGTCCATCGCCTTTTCAGACCGGAGAAGGCGATGATTTTTTTTAATTAAATTTTGAATTAAAAAATTATTACTTACATCTAACAAATGAGGTTTGACTAAGGTGGTGCAAATAGCAATTTTATCACCTATTTGGCTATTTGCACCACCTATGTATTTATTAGAAATTTTTACCTTTTTACACTTTCAATGTAATTTATACCCTTTTTTGACTAAAGGGTGGTGCAAATAGCAACACCCTATTTATGCAGTAGAGTAGGCAAACAAAAAGCTTAGAAGTTCGGGATTTTAAAGATGAATTTAAATATTTATATTTGAGAGAAACCAAATCTATAAAAATCTTAATATAAAAGTGTTTATAAAAAGTTAAAACTGTTACGATCGATACAGTTACGTTCACAATACCAAATTACAATAACAATATAACAATTTGTACTGAAAATATTGAGAATATTTCTAGTGTAAGATTTCAAATAAATCATACACAGAATAAGACAATTTGAAGAAGAATTTTCTGTATTAGCAAAATTATATTACAATAGGAATTACAAATATAACTCTCTATTTGTACTCTCTGTATTTTGCTATGCTAAAGAATGGATCAAATGGAATGGGATAAATGAATGAAGAGACGTTGCCTATTTATAGCAACTCATGTGCCTAGAGATTTCTAAGCATTTAATACAACATTAAATGCAATTCTACTCAAGCAAGCAAAAAACCTTGCTCAAAACTTAGCCCAAACTTTTTCCTTTAAGAGAAACCTATGCCCAAGCTTTTCCCTTTAGGAGAAACCTACGCCCAAACTTTTCCCCTTGCACAAACCTCTCCCAAGCATTTCCCCTTCGTCAAACCTATGCCCAAGCAAACCTCATCCCATTTCCACATTTGACTTTATTATTTACAAAAACTTTTTAAATACCAATAGATTTTTAATACTCCGTACTATTTAAAAGTTTTGATCGATTATCACTCAGCTTTTAAAAACTTTTAAAAATATAAATCAAATATTATTAACTTTTTAAAACACTCTAAAATTCTTAATCAAAACTTACCAATGAGGTCCTATCGATTATTATTGCAGAGAACAAATATTCTAGACACTAATCTAAATACTTTCAAAGTTAATAAAAGTTTGAATGGGATACACCACTTTAGAGAGAAAAGTTAAGAATTATTTAATATGAACATTAATCCATGGTATAATTATTGGACAAATTTCCGACAAAATAAATGCGGAAGGGATGCCACCGCACCCAAGAAAAGAAGCGCTATCTTTGGTTACTACAGAACAAAAGTTGGGAAAAAGAAGTTGATAAAAGAAAAAAGATGGGAAAAAAAAAGGGGAAAATGGAGATTCTATGATCCACTAAGTGACTGATCAATAGCAAATTAGCAAGGAAAAAAGAGGTGATAGTGGGATAATAAAGGCAAGAGGATACAAGATTTTAAGTGTTGAAAATATTAACAAAATTGATATTTTGAATGGTTATTTTGTAGTATAAATATATGTAGAGTCTACTTTTGACTTGGGTTAAATCAAAGTGGATCGGGTTCTTCTAAATAAAACAAAGAAATCGATATATTGCTGGGCCGTCTTTTGGATTTTTGTGGCCCCGCTCTTGTAAATAAATGAGGCCCTAAGAGATAAGTGAAAATTGATATTTAAAGAAATTTGGTAGAAAGTTGTAAAATTAATGGAGGAATGAATAATTCTGCCCTCTTCAATGATAGTGTGCGATTTGGGAGAAAAAACCGATGAGTTTTAGACAAGATAGAAAGATGCGTGAATGATTGTGGGCTTAATTGCAGTTTTTTTTTTTTTTTTTTTTTTTTTTTTTTTTTTTTTTTTTTTTTTTTATTTCTTAAGCAGCTAGGTCAAAAATAGATATTGAAACTTTTAAAATGGGGACCTTGTGTTGTTGGGCATTATGCATGGGCCAAAAATCGGCCCGATATATTGTAGGCTCAAAATGAATAGTGTGAAAAAATGATATGATTCTCAAAGTATACACATGTAGTTAGAAAAATTAGAGTTGCGAAAGTTTATAAGAAACATTTGTCTTACATTGAAAAGTGATGTTGTTTTCGCTACTATATATATAATTTGCTTTTTCAAATTATTTAAATTATATAGAAGAGATTCCCTTTCGAGTCAATGTAGTTACTTCTCCATCACCAGCATGACACTAGCATTCTTTTCAAGCTTATGTAAATGAAGAATAATTCATATTGATACATGATATAACCATTGATTCCAACTCCTTGGGCTATATATCCATGCATATTGCATGTTGGGTCTAATGTTTTATATATCATTTTTTCTATCATTTTCATATTGATACATGATATAACCATTTATTCCAACTCCTTGGGCTATTTCTCAACCTATTGAGAACAAAAAGTCAATATGATCTCCACTGAGCCTCGATCCCACAACCTATAAGGGAGCAACTTGGTGCTATTCGATTACAAGATCCTTTGGCAAATTTATCTTAGCTTAAATGCCCAAAAGCTAATTAATAGAGAAGTTTTATCTTAATATTGTGTCGAAATAAATAATTAATAAAATTAAACTATCCTACCAAAAAAATAAAAAATAAAATTAAACTAGAAGAGAGCATTTTGGAGATTAAGGGATGGGATAGTGACGTTAGAGAAAGCAGAGACGACATTACTCCATTAGTGAAAATGAATGTAAAGTAACTTTGGAGATTAGACAATCTAATCTAGCCTAGCCTAGCCTCGTCTCCTCATCCACAAAAGTTAATTATTTTTTTCACATAATCATTCCCTCTAAATCCGCTATATATAGGATCACATAGATCAGAAGCTTTGACTTACGGTATTGAATTACTATTAACTAAACCATGATGAGAATCTCCCTTTTCACTCTTCTTTTTCACATTCTTTGTATGCTTGCACTAAACACCGCACCCTTACATGCAAACAAAGAAGAAGCTGAAGCTCTCTTACAATGGAAAAACAATGGCCTATCATCATCATCATCTTCAACTTCTTTACTGGATTCTTCTTGGTCTGTCAACAACCTCACAAATTTGTGCAATTGGGAGGGAATCACCTGTAACCGAGGTGGATCTGTTTCAGAGCTCAACCTACCTCATGGGAACATCAGAGGTACACTTGAACTACTCCGTTTTTCCTTACTACCTAATCTTACTCGGATCAATCTCAATAACAATAGTTTGAGCGGAATGATCCCGTCTGCTATCAACAGCCTCCTTAAGCTCACTTTTCTGGACTTGAGCAATAACAACTTCACGGGGGCAATACCAGTAGAGGTTGGGCAGTTGACACAACTCAGGTACTTTAGTTGTTTCAAAAATTTTCTGGACGATGTGATTCCATTTGAAATTAGCAATTTTCTGGACTAGTCACATATTTTATTCTTTAGAAAAATAGAAACATTTAAAGATGCATTACCATACTTCAGTTTGTCATTATTATTAATGTTAATAGTGATTATAATGTTACTTATTACTATTAATAATTAATTAATGATTAATGATGACATTAATATTCTTATGGTATTCAGTTATGCACCTTGAAATTTTCCAAATAAATTTATGTGACAATAATCCAGTTAAGAAAATATTTTTCTTGACATTAATGTTTTTCGGACTTCAAATTTTATTAAGTTTTCACAATTTTATCCGAAAACGGTTATAAATGTTAGTGGTTTTGACAATTTTTTTTTTCATATTTAGTCTCCTACTTAATGTGATAATATTATTATGGCTATTTATTGCTATTTTGGTTATTTGCAATTTTGCCATTAATAATAATATTATTATTAACTGGGTTATGGAGAGTGATTTTGAATCAATGTAGTAATTTTGGAAAAACATATTTGCTAGGCAATTGACAATTGCCATTAATTCCATAATTCATTTAGTTCTTTGAATTATGATTGCCCATATTTGGTTAAGTATGAATAAATGAATATTTTTGTTTAAATTCATATTCTTTAGTTGGTTCATACTCCTTAGATTGTTTTATGCATTCAATCACATTAAGTGCATAATATTAAGTTTAATTATGCAATTAGGGTTTATGAGATTTTAATTTACAAATGATAGCATATCCTTTTGGTTTGATATTGTTTGAAATTGTAAATTCAGTTATTTCTCATGAATTTGATCTTTATGCATTAAAACATTTTCCCATGGGCTTACAGTTTAAAAAAATTTTAAAGTATATATTCAATACATTATTATTCAAAATGTTGGGTCTCTTTTGGTTTGGACTCATTAGTGTTTGAATATTAAGTTTATACTTTAAAATCTCATATTGTAAATTGCTTTAAGTTATGCAATTTCTTTGGAGTATATGAGTTTAATGTTTAATTTTATGCATATTTGTCCTAAGCATAATATTATGTTTTAAATTATGCAATTTTATTATGCCTTTAGCAATGCATACTTAGATGGAATTATATTAGTTCCTATTTAAGTTGGACGACTTACGCATAAACTTTACTCGCGGTAGTGCCTAAATTTAAGCACATTTAGTCCGCTATTTTTAGTTCACCATTTAAGCTTTAATCATATGTGAACCTTATAGTTTTCTGGTGTATACCATACAGTTTACTGGTTTATACCCCAAACAGTTATACATTAAGTATATATGAATCGGGGAGACATACTAGTTTTAATGGCCATGACTTAAGAACATCTTGAGCCACTAGTCTCCTTAAATTGATACTCTATTTAAGGAATTAGTTTTCAGTGAGACTTAGTCTCTAACCGCCTTTCCTTGGAGTATATTTAGATTTTCCCATCATAATCTGGTATAATCTGTTTATCAAAATTTTAAGTATTCCTTGTCAATGTGATTTTATTTCGGTTCGTTAAAGAATAGTCAAAGCATCTTTAATTTACTGAAATATCTTGAGTTTTCAATCTTGGTTAATTAAGGAATAGCTACAGCATATTCAGCTACCTAAGATTATTAAGTTTTAATCATATAAAGTTTAGGCAAGAATTTGATAATTGTCTAGTGATCTTATAATTTTAATTTGATTTTGGAGTAGCCACAGCATCCTTAATCTGTTAAAATTATATATTAAGCGGTTTATTTTGATCACATAAAGTTTTGGACATATCATTTGTGATTAATTGTATGTAATATGATGAAATTTAGCCCACAGGCAATTTCGTTATATTTGTATGATTAATCAGGATGAAATACTGGACTACGGTCATAATTTAGCCCACAGGCAATTATGTATCGGAATGTAGTTTAGTAGTTTTATCAGTGATGATAGAAATAATTTATTTATTTACTATATGGTTATTTGTAAATAATTTTCAATTCTATCATGAAGTTTAAATTTTATGATGTAAACTTTAGATCATATTTCTTAATTTGCCCACAGGGATTAAGAAAAGGAACATGATCTCTTAAGTTTTTTATCATAATGGTTGTAATGAATCTTATTGACTAAAACTTTAGCCTACAGGCAAGTTTTATGTCATTTGATTCTTCAACTCATTTGATAATGGTTTCATCATAAATAAATTTTTCAGTTGGATCTAATTGAGTAAAACTTTAGCCCACAGGCAAGTTTTATGTCACTAGATTCTTCTGGCTCTTTAGTAATTGTGAAAAATATTATCATAAGGGTTTCTTAATTGGATTTAATAGAATTAAAACTTTAGCCCACATGCAAGTTTTATGTCAATAAATCCCACCACCCATTAGATGATAATTTTATCACAATTTCTTAGAAATTATAAATTCAGTTCAATTATAATTCTAAGTTTCATGGTTTGCATTGGCAAAACATGTATTCAGTCACTTCCCAAAATTTAGCAACTTTTATTAATTGATCCACGGATCTTGCTCGGTTCTTCGGACTAACTGTAGTAAGTTACGTGATTTGACATACCTCTTGGATTCCAATAATGTTAAAATGCATCTTTTGAGCCAAATTTTAACTTGGTTTTGAAAGATGTATTTTGTTTTTTTTTTTTAGTATGTCCAACTATGGTGGGGAAATATATCTTCATTATTTCGTTGGACTTTAATTGGAACCAAAAATTGATTATTTCGTATGTCCAACTAATGGTGGGGAATTATGTCTGCATTTGTTAGTTGGTCAATAAATCAATTATGAGTATGTCTATTATTAAGTTCACTTTATTAATTTCGCTGAAGAATATTTTAATCAGTGGGAGTGATCATTTAGAAAAAGATCATTAAGATACTCCACTAAAGTTTATGGATTTAAATGGCTTCATACATCCTAAATTTGATTGTATGTCAGACAATAAGTCCAAAATATTCCACAAGTATTAATCTTGTATTTGTTCATATAAATTTATAAGTTCAAATTATTGAACATTTGGTTGTACAACATATTTATGAAAATGTTGCAACAATATTAAAAAAATTATTAGAACAAAAGCATTTAACTTGTGGGGCATTGTCATTTAATAAATTCTTCAGTGATTAATAGAGTCTTTAGTTTCTTCAAAATTGATCCTGGGCCATTTCAGTTGTAAGGCTCAAAACAATTTTGTGGGACATAAAAGTAAGACTCATTATGTTCATCAGTTCATTTAAAATGAATATTGAAGTTATTTGGGAAGTTATGGTGTATGATTAGGATTCCAAATTCATGGACTTGGACATTTGGTTTATTGTCTAAGTTATTGGAATGCTTCTGTGACTTGACTATCTTTTGGCTATTTTTGATGAGTGGGAGTGACAGACGTGTCAACTCCAAGCTCTTAGCTGTTAGAGATAATACTTAAAGTTAACTTATAAAGAAGTCATGGAATATAGTTAGCATTATGCTAACATTAAGAGATCTCTACTTAAGGCATGCTTATAAAGTTTTAGAGATCATACAGTGTACTCTTTTGTACAATTTGGATGCGTTTTCTCCTTCAGTTGTGCACATAATGTATTTTGAGAAACATCCCTTAAGGTACCGAGAATAAACATAGGGTTTGTTCATTAAGGACCTAAGTTGGAGAATTAAAATGCATGTGACCATAATGGATACTACTCTGATTAAATAGAGGATATATCACTATGATTCGTGTGTTTTGTTCTTTGATGAAGGTTGTGCTAGTACTTGCACCAAGTGGGAGAATGTAAGATTTTCCCTAATAATATATATTAATATTATATATTAGGGCCTTAATTAAGTGGTGCAAGTTGACTAGGCTTATTAAGTGGTGTGGTTGGACTTAATAACTAGTAGTTGTTAGTCAACCAAACTCTGTGTCTAATATAATCTTGTATTGATGGGATACAGGATGGTTGTTGTTAGCACATTCAGTTACGGTACTCAGACCGCTCAGTAGATACCAATACACCATCTAGGGTTCTGAGTCGAGGCAAAACATGGCTGACGGTCTACCGTTAAGAGGCAACACAACAGGAACATCAACTATGGCTGGAGATCAACACGGCTACGCTTCCACTATCATACGAGGTCAGATTTCTCGTATACTATGGTTTATTATAGTTAGACTATTGTATATCTAACAACAATTTCTTCCAAGGACCTTTTCCCATTAGTCTTACCTACTTATCCAACCTTAAATTTCTTTGCCTTTCATACAACAACTTTTCTGGAGCAATTCCAAAAGAAATTGGTTCAATAACCAGTCTTCAAGCATTGAAATTGGCCAATAATTCATTTCTTGGGAATATTCCACCTTCCATTGGAAGCCTTAAACATCTTCAGTTTCTTTCTCTTGAAATGAATCAACTGAATTCTATGATTCCCTTTGAACTTGGGCTATGCACAAATCTTGAAATCTTGTATCTTGATAATAACACTCTAACAGGCGAGTTGCCTCCCAGCATGGCCAATCTTTCCAAACTAGTTGAGTTAGATTTATCTTCTAATAGACTTTCAGGTCAGTTAGTACCACACCTCATTGCCAACTGGACAAAATTAGCTCTCTTGTTTATAGATAACAATATGCTCACTGGAAGGATTCCCTCTGAAATTAGTTTATTGACACAACTTCAATATCTTGCCCTGCTTAGTAACCGGCTTTCAGGTTGCATTCCCTCAAACATTGGGAATTTGAAAAAGTTGTATGCACTTTACCTTGGGAAAAACCACCTTTCTTGTCTAATTCCTTCAACAATTGGAAATTTGACAGAGCTCATTGTGCTAGAACTTTCACATAACTATCTTAGGGGGCCAATACCATGGGAAGTAGGATATTTAACATCACTATCTGCTGTTTCCCTAAGTTCCAACTTGCTTCACGAACCTGAGACCTTATCAATCTTTTGCAATGTCACATCTCTTTCAGTCCTTTTCATAGCTAATAACAAATTGAATGGACATATTCCAAAATGCTTGGGAAACAACACGAATCTAGATTCTTTCTTACTTCATGACAATCAGTTTCACGGGGGTATTCCAAAATCACTCTGCAATGCATGCCACCTTCATTTTCTTGACCTGTCAAGCAATTACTTGAGTGGTGTCATTCCAACGTGCCTGGGAAATTTAGTAATCAACTCTCAATCTTGCGACTTGACAATAATAATTTGCATGGTGCTATGCATAGAGAGTTTTGCAGTTCAACCTCTTTCAAATTTGTTGACCTATCTCATAATAGTTTGAGTGGCGTTATTCCTTTGTGTTTGGGAAATCTAAGCACAACATTGTCACTACTTGATTTAAGCATGAATCACTTTTATGGAAACATTCCAGAAGAAGCTTTAAAGGGTGATGTTCTGCAAATTCTCATCTTGCATTATAATGAATTTGAAGGACCATTACCTCGTACTCTGCTCAACTGTACAGCTCTCAAAGTTCTTGATGTTGGAAACAATTGTCTAAATGACTCATTCCCACACTGGTTAGATGCTCACCCACAATTGGCAGTGCTCATCTTATGTTGTAATAATTTTTATGGGGTGATAGGAAATCCTACCACCAAGATTCCATTCCCTATGCTGCGAGTTCTTGATCTTTCCAACAATCACTTCACTGGACATTTGCCTAAAAATTATTTGCTGCATTTTATTGGGATTATAAATGATATTACTCCTTATTTAGAAGTAACAGACTCTGATGACGATTTGCATTATGCTTTTGGAAGCTCTGTAATGCTTGTGGTGAAAGGATCTGAGCTTCCCGTGGAAGAAATTCTAAACCTGTACACACTCATAGACTTATCAAGTAACATGTTTTATGGAGAAATTCCTATTTCCATTGGAATCCTTGGTTTTCTTCGGCATCTCAATCTGTCTCATAACAGGCTAACTGGCCATATACCATCATCATTGGGAAATCTAACATTGCTTGAAGCGCTAGACATGTCTTGCAACCAGCTGACGGGGGAAATTCCATGGCAACTATCAAAGCTTGGATTTCTGGAAGTACTGAACCTCTCCTATAATCATTTATTGGGAGCAATACCCCGCAGCTGGCAACTTGATACAATTGGCAATGACTCCTATTTGGGGAACACAGCATTGTGCGGGTTTCCATTGACACTAGAATGTGGAGCTAAAAACCCACATGTGCACTCAAAAGACGAGGAGGAGGAGGAGGATTTTTTTAATGGATTTTCTTGGCAGAGCGTGACGATAGGGTACTGTTGTGCATTTCCATTTGGAGTTTGTGTGGGATATTTTGGTCTGCGATATGGAAAACTCAACTGGTTGCTAAGGAAACTCACATGAAAGAGAAGGCATGCCAGAAGAACAAATTAATAATATTGCAGATCGAGTGGTACAGGTATTATTTAAATTAAATCACCCTTTATTTATTAAACTCCAACTTCACGTTTTCAATTTCTTCAAAGGCATTTCTCATTATGGCAAAAACTTGTGTGAGACGGGTCAAATGGTAGATAACTAGGTATGCAAGTATCATAATTTCAATTATAAATATTATTTCGTAAAATATTAATTATTAGTAACAATTAATTTACCCTAGATAGTATCACAATTTCACATATAAATATTACAATATCTGCTATTATATAAGTAATGATTTATTTTAATTCAATTTGGTAAGCATTACAATTTCTTATACAAGTAACCATTAGAATTACACTTTGTAAGTATATATATTACAATATTTATCATTAGCAACAATCATTTTATCCTAATAGTATCATAATTTCACATATAAATATTACAATATCAATTATAAATAACAATTTATTTATTTCATTTAGTATTGAATTTTTTGTGATATATATTATCATATCTATCATATATAAGTAACAAATAATTATCATAGACAGTCTCACAGATTAACTCACACAAGTGTGACTCTTGTATTAATTAGATGTGTAAAGCTGTGACATTTTACCGGCCTTTGTGATTGCAGGTTAAAAGTGTGGCGTGCATGCAGAGTTTTACACTCAGAGTTGTGTTTTATCGCTTTCAGATTTCACATTTGTGACCAATAGAGCTACTCATGCAGGTTGAATTGTGCTTTTATTGTATTGATTGGTCGTGGGTACTATTGTGGTGTGCTATTTTAATTAATATGCCTTCCCATGTTCTTTATTGCGATGTTTTTAGTATAGTGCACAGCAAAGTGCAAACTCCAAGACACTTTCTACTTATTCTATACTGTACCATTTCATTAGGCTGTAAGACTTGCTCTAAATGTTAGATAGAAAGCAATGCAGAATGGAAGTGTATGAAATTATTACTTTGAACTTAATCTTGTGCCTTGCCTTAATTCATAGCTAAAAACACATGTTTTTAGACCAAACTTTTTCATCCAACAAAAAACTACTTTTCGAACATAGGTATTATATTTCTTGCAGAAAACTTATAATATGTCATTTTTTAAGATTATGTATTGTTTTTTTTTTATTTATTATAAAAATAAAAATAAAATTTAATTGCCACAAAAACAATGTATTATAAATTTAAAGACAGTTTCAATTGTTGGTCCCGGTAGTGTTATAGCGAGAGTCTAGAGGGGGGGGGGGGGGGGGGGGGGGTGAATAGACTCTTTTCGTGTTTTGCTAAAAATCAACCTTTCGGTGTTTTAGTGCAGCGGAAATGTTAGGTTCGTTTTACTTGCTTTGCACGTTTTGACGTTATAAAAATACTTTCGGTATAGGCGCGAAAAATAATATGATGCAGAAATAACTGGAGTAAGTAAAGAGATAGGGAGACGAGAGTTTTATAGTGGTTCGGCCAACTTTGCCTACTCCACTCTTCTTCCAAAACTTATGGAAGGTTTGCACTATCACTCGTTAGTACAAATACACAAGAACTTCCTTGATCACTAAGCCGGACAGCCTTCGTAGGTTTTTCAACTCCGCGAGTTTACTCCGCCTCTATCAACGTCTTCTTTAGAGTTGAGGTCGGTAGGAAATAATTTCTGATTTCTCCAACGTGATGAAGTCTTGACTGATGATGGATGATTGTTTCGTACAAGTTGCAATACTTCTTTAAGGTGTAAGATGAATGTTGATGAACTTCTTCAAGTATCTTTGCACCTTAACACTGGTTCACAAAAGCTTTTTGAGAGAGCTGAGAGTGTTTAAAAGCTTTTGCTTGTAGATAGATCGAGTGATAAGAACCAGCACCTTCTTAGTTGGTGAAGGTGGATTTATATAGGTGATGAAAAATTCATCCGTTGGAGGGAGATGAATTTTCAAACCTATTGTCCAGTGGGTAAGGACCGGGGAGCTTCCCGCATTAAATGCTCCATTAATGAGGTTGTACCTTGTAGCCGTTGATGGTATGAAGAGCCTTAGGATTTTGTCCTTTAGCTTCAGGAAATAGTACATCTTCATTTAATGCTTCTTGGTATGCGTGTCCCACAAGTTGAGATCCTTTTGTTCCTAGGATGTTGTCAAATCGGACAGTAGAAACATTCTTCTTGTTGTTGAAGAGGAAGAATGCTTTGAAGGATAGTCATTAATAAGGTTGTCCTTTCGAGGTAGATGACAACTCCTGGTAAACTCTCGTTGCAGTTGCTTCATGCTTCGTGTCTTCTTTCATCTTGGAGACCCTAACAACTAAGCACAACTCGTTTTCGTGTGTTTGACTAGCTTAACACGAATTCCATGCGAGTTATGGCAACTCTCGTCTAGGATGAAAGCAGCAATTAAAAAAGATAAAGGTTAGGGGTCTACTTTCTACGTTACATTGGTATCATCAAAATCCTAATACAAGGTTCCTAACAATTTTCCCCTTTTTTATGATGCCAAAACCTATACTCTTCTTATAAGGCTGATAAAAGTTCCATAAAGAATTTTCTATTATAAAACAGCCATATTATTTGAGAGTTTACAAGTCTTTTCTAGGTAAAAGCGTTAATAAGTAAGACAAGGACAAGTAACTCAGACAAGTGACACGAGATGTGTAACAATGAGAGTTTCATATAAAGATAGTGAATATTACAAAAACTTTTTAAGAAGGACAGAAAGGAAAGACATCTTACAAATCTAGAAGTTTTGACTTCTGTTGCTCGGCTTCCTCATGTTCATGAGTGTCCCTTTCCTCTTGCTGTTTGAGCATTCTGGTGAAGTCGATTTCCTCATTGATTAGTTTTCTGAAGACTTTAATAGGATTCGTCTTGACAAGATCTTCGTGTTTTCCTTTGATGTTGAGACTTGTGTAATTGTTGTAAGCTTCACGAATGTTTATTCCTTCAACTATTCCGGCCTTCCACCACGAGATAAGTTTAAAAGAATTCATTCCTTCTTTGTAGCTTTTTCCAGACTCAGTATGCACTTTGAAAGCTACATTGTAGATGACACCATGCGCAGAGTTTTTGGTTACATTCGAGAGATCTTCAATAAGCTCCTTTACTCTCTCTCTCTTTCCTCCCGTTCATGTTCTTTCTTTCGAGCTTAGCTTCTTCTTCATGTTTCTCCCATAGTTCTCTATTTTGTCTCTTGATTCTCTCATTTTGGGTGCTTATGTAATGTTGTCTAGTGTGGTTATCCTTTTTCTTCATCCAGACAGGGACATTGCAACCCTCAAAACATTTTCCACTTCCTTCTTCATAAGGTCTGAACTCCAAGAAATTTCCTATGCCATCCATAGTTACCTTGTCGTTCCTCATGAGTTTCTGCCTTCGGTTCGTCTTCTCTCTCTTGGAGAGCCCCGTGATTACAAATTGTGACTCAGAGCCATAGGACTCACGAGGCTTGAATGCCTGAGATCTGGGTTGAGAGCGACCACGATTTGAGTAATGTCTTGACTGTGAAGGATGGTGGCCACGAGACTTAGATGGAGGATATGACGGCTTTGTGCTTCTTTGCCCAGAGTCTCTTGGTGTATGAGATGGAGATCGTTCTCTCGTGTTTTCTCTCGGAGATCGTTCTTTCGGATGGTCGTCATCCTTATCCTTATCATCATTGTTTCTCTTTTCCCCTTTTTTGGCATCATCGGCACATGTGGTAGGAGGAACGGTGGAAAGCTTATTCACTGCAATCAGAATGTCTTGTACATACCTGAGAATTTGAAGAGCATATTCTCCCAGTTGGTATGTATTATCATGCGAAGTCTCTATTTTTGAGCAAGCCAAGTCAACACGCTCTTTGAGGCTGAAATGTGAGTGTTTGAGTTCGTGCTGTTGCCGTGCCACTTTGTTGACAGTGGTATGGAGTTCATAAAGCTTCTTTGCCACTTTGTCATTGAAATGTTGATCAAGTTGAGCTTGCAGTGGAGGTTGAGGTTGTTCTTGTGGTGGAGGACAAGAGTTAGCTTGGGCAGCCATCAATAGATCCACCTTCTTGGACAGCTCCTCCATTACTTTGGTGTCCCTTTGCCGAAGGGTTAGGTATTGCTGATGAGTAACTTCGGCTGCATGAACTGTGTCTCGCATGAGGTTCATGATAGTCCGTGGGGACTCCGGAGATGAATCTTCTTCAATATTGGTAGGTGATGTGTCCATCTGTTCTTCTTGAGGTGGTGCATCCTTTTTGCCACCACTTGCTGAAAGTTTATTAACATCTATCATATTAAAAGTCTTTAAAAGTCTACAAAAGTCGATTGAATACATCCCTCTAAACTTTTTTTAAATAGTAACCAAGTATTTTTGTTGCAAAGGGTTCTAATATATTTAATGGATGCACATATATACAAGATCAATGAATGAATCAACGGTACCAGTCATTTAGGTGTTTTTCTCAGTGTTCATTTAATTCAACCATTATTGTTGAATAAATTATTATGGATAAAGAAATTCATAATTTAAAGAATTTAGATGAAGTAGTAAAAATTAAAATTTTTTAATTATAATGTAACCCAAAGATATTGAACGATTGGTAAATATGATGTAACCCAAAGATCAAAATGCTAAAGAAAGTGTTTGGTTATTCAACAGTTTGAATCAACAATTTGTTCCAAGCCACTGAAAAGACAATGCAACAATACCCTTTAATTTCACGGTCAACAAACCACACTTCTGACGGAGGACTAAAAGTGTCCAACGACCAATAAGAGTGGCTACAAATTGACAATTTTTATTATGAAGGATGAAAAGTGTCAATCTTCCAATAAGTCTAGGACAAAAAATTATATTAACTCTATTATTTATAGATAATCTCCTAAACTCCACGCTTTCAATCTTTACCAAGCTTATTTTTATACTAGTTTTTTACGCGCATTGCGCGATTGGGATAATGCCCAATATTTTTTTTAAATGTTAAATGTTATGCATAGATAATTGAATGTTAAATTTGCGTATTTAAATAGACAATTCTAAGTTTACAAATGCAAGATAATATAGTCAAGATTGATTATAATTGTCAATAAAATAATTGTATAGGTATGGTTGAAACCAAATACGGGACATAAGGGAGGGCAAATAAAAATTAGGGCATAAAATATTAAATATATACTAATATTGAAGAGCTAACGACTGATTGCCAAACAAGGACATTGCGAGATAGTTTCACACTTCAATTTGTTGTGTGATTTAAATACTCTTTTTGTCAATAAATCCCCAAGTAGTTAATATGATTGGCTTAATTATATTTTTTTTATTTTTTAAAACAATTATTATTATTATTATTATTATTATTATTATTATTATTATTATTATTATTATTATTATTATTATTATTATTATTATTATTATTATTATACCCTTAGGTCATTTTACATGTTAATCTAAACAACTAATTTTTTCAAATATCTTTTTACCAACCATTGATATAATTCGCTGGTCAAATTCGCTAATATAATCCGCTAACGCTAACCGCTAACTACTGATTGTCAGACAAGGATATTGCGAAGTTGTTCTCACTTCAATTTGTTGTGTGATTTGAATAGTCTCTTTGTCAACAAATCCTTCAAGTAATTAATATGATTAGCTTTATTAATTGTATTTTTTTAATTTTTTCATGGTATTAATAGAATACTTGGTAAATAAATATATAGCATTATTTTGAATTATAACTTTGATATTTAATTAAAACAAATAGTGCACAAAAAAAGGTAATAGACAATGTGTGAATATAATCAATTGATGAATTTGAATGTAAAGAATTTTTACATTGGAGAAATATAAAGACAATATAACTAATAAAATTATTTCTCTTAATTAATTTATTAATAATGAATTATTTTTTTAATAAAGACATTGTAGGGACAATGTAGCAAATATAATCAATTGATGAATTTGAATATAAAGAATTTTTATATTGGAGAAAAATA